AAGAGGACGGGTGAGGTAGAATGGTGTGTTGCGATGGATTGTGTCATCATAAGTGAGGTAAGAGAATATAAATATATAAGAAGGGGGATATGTTTGGTCACATGAGGTCAGGTGTTTGGGTTTCACTGGTCAACTTAAACAAAAGCATTACTTCATTTGCTACACAAAAAGCATAGGGATATAAAAGACCACTCAGGACAGCACCTAACTAATCTGCACAATGATGGGGATGTTTACAGCAACATGAAGTCCTCAACCTGGAGAAAGTTGAAGACATTCCCTATAGTGCACTCATGAGGCGTCATTTACATAATATCAATGTTAGAAATATGCTAAGGATAGGCCCACTAAACCATTCATACTTCTAAAGCAAAAGATCTGAACCTAACCTTGCCTAACTACCCTTAGACGGTTTTGCTTAGGTTAAGAGAACTTTGATTAATATCTGTCACTTGGAGAAGAAATGGTTTTGCAATGGTATTTGTGGTATTTAAAATTGGTCACTTTACATCACTAACACAGCAAAAAGATCTGTACCTTTGATTCATTCTTTATTCACACAAAACTTTATGCAGTCATCACAGAACAAACCACTGTACGCAACATATTGATTTACGTGGGTGCTATTCTTGAAAATCATCAAACTTATTAAATTCATATAAAGCAAACTTAACTTCTTACAAGTAAAGAGAGTTCATTTCCTGAATCTGAAAAACATGTCATCACAAAAAAATTAAATAAATCTATCAGCAAAGAAATAAACACTCAATTATCTAAAATGAAAGATAAACATTACAGTATTTAATCCCATACACTACAATACTGTACACGCTAAACACAATACGGTATGTATATTAAAACAAATTTAATGTATTCACTCAGTCGTCATCCATTAATGCTATGCTTGTGGTTTGTTTACAAATATATTTCATAATTTTATCAAATTTATTTGAGACTAAATTGTCTCAATTTATAAAAAAAATACCTTTAAATAGTACCCATTCATTCACCCAATAATGTAATTAATTAGCAGCAGCAGCATGATTTTTTTTTTTTCAGGACAGTGAGACCTTATAGATCTATCAATATGTCGCCCCCATTAAAAAACAAAATAAATAAATATATAACATATTACAGAGGACTAGTAAAGTATTTTTTGTATACAGGATGAGGTTATTATAATAAATTATTGAAAAAACATTCCCAATTGGTATTCAGTATGTAAGCAAATACCTTCAATACTTCCCAAAGTTGTAGGTTTGTGGATAATGTTTGATTTTCCCCACAAAGCTTCATCATATCTGATCAGCTAATTATAACATGTTCCAAAATGTCTTAGTCCAATCATCTAACATTTTACTACTGTACAGTACTATATTTGTTACAAATACATGTGGAGTATTGTAACCTCACTACATGTGACAACACACATGTCTTTCACTAATGTGTCCTGGGTTCAATCCCCAGCCTGGGTCAGAGGTAAAAAGGGTGACACTACCAATCATGGTAGGCTTTCTCCGGGTATTCCAGTTTCCTCCTGTACTAACACTAGACAATGAAGGTAATAACAAAGGAACAAAGAACAGACAAACTGCCTGAACAGCTAGTAAGCTGATAAGTGATAAGTTAATGGTTATTTGAATGCAGTGAATATCATTTAACAATGGATCCTCATGACAAGTGATGTTTTTCCTGCCTTTCCACCAAAGTAAATTTGTACTGTGCTGTGCTGTACTGTACTGTACTGTACTGTATACAAAACACACTGCATCTATATTTCTACAAGTTTGGGGTCATCCATCCATTCAGTTGCTGGTATAACAGTACAACAACCCAGTGTTTTTTTTCCCGTGAGGAAAAAAGTTGGTCGTGTATCCAGTTTGTGGTCAATACATACACCAGTTGTAAGACTCCACTGTAATTCATAGTACTGTACCACCACTTGTGTTATATAAAATAAAGGTCACATTTAATATTTTTGCTCAAAAAGTTTTTGGCATTTTTTCAAAAAAGAATTTGCAGAAATAGAACTCAGGTAAATCAAGGTTTACTGCAGTGTACAGGATTTAAGTCTCTGTTGAATCAACTTTGATAGTTTGGTAATTATAATTTTATATTGTAATTGAAAAATAGATTTTCAAATATTTACATACTGGTATGCTGTACAATATATAGAATTTGATTAAGGAAATAGTTTTACTACAAGTTTAGTTTTCAAATAATTATGTAACTGTTGAATGTAATTATAATTAAGGATAAGCATTTGTCTGAAAATAGCAGGATCAATTAATACACTCATATTATGGTGGGCAAGGGAAAATATATGTGGTCATTTGCCAGTCATATCTGAAGTCTGGTGCAGGATGGCTGGCATCAAGGGCAAGGCAAAATCTTCCATCATTTGTTATAACAGCTCTAATACATGTGTTGTATTGTGTTCTTCCACTAAATATCTTGGATGATGACCATCCCACAAGGACCATCACAGAAAAACACATGTCTTGCAGCAGTTCAAGAGAATGAATGACAGTGAGGGACTCCTCTTCATTATGTCCATTCTACACCAGTAGCAGGAAAAGGCTTGCAAGAGCGAGCAAAATTTTTATTCTTGTGAAACAATTCTTGAAAGGGAGGGAAATTGGTCTTGGTTTATAAAGATTTTCATTCGCAGATAAAAAAATTACTTGATTCATTAATTCTTTGATAAAATTATTAACTCTATACCTAAACTCTTATTAAAGCCACATTAACATTTCACAAAATACGTACATACAAGATATTCCATTTAATTTATACAGAATACATGATTATTATTATCATTATATACTCTAGGGCACAAAACCATCAAGTGATTTTGTTATTTCTTTGTAAAATAGAAATCTATCCTGTCTACAACCACTACCACATGATTACAAACAGTGTCTATATATATATATATATATATATATATATATATATATATATATATATATATATATATATATATATATATATATATATATATATATATATATATATATATACACAGCATATGTATTTATAATTTATATATCAGCTACTGTATGTTATTTCTGGAGCTCATTACATATTGCCAAGGGTTGGGTTGGGTTGGGTTGGGTTGGGTTAAGTTATGTTGGGTTGGGTTAAGTTATGTTGGGCTGGGTTAAGTTATGTTGGGTTGAGTTAGGATATGCTGGGTTGGGTTAGGATATGCTGGGTTGGGTTAGGATATGCTGGGTTGGGTTAGGATATGCTGGGTTGAGTTGCCAAGGGTTATTATCTCTGTGGTAAGAGTTAGACTAGAAGGTACTCACTACCTAAGCTCTGCCCACTCTTGGCATCCATAGCAACTTTCCCAATTTGTTTTTAGACACTTATTATACATCACTAGACACAGCATTATTCTACTTTGTACATAATGCATCTATCACATCACACATTTATCTATGGTCCACGGGACGTCAACTAACACAGTAAACATCTTAGCAACTTCATGTGGTGTACAGTGTCGGATTATTGTAGTCTCCCGTTGTGTTTCCAAAACATAACTGCAACAACAACAACAACATCTAGACACAACTTATATGTTCTACCAGCTATCTCTTCAACAAATATACGGGGTCGTGATTTTTGATTGAGAAATGAGGAAATGCCCACATCCATAGTCATTCATTTTACCAAAAGAACATATTTCTAAAACTGTCTCTTAATAATATCTTTGTTCTTCTCTAATGTCACATTTGCATCACTTCTTCTCCATCTTACATATAATACACCTTCACAATTCATGATCATGAAAATAAACCATTTTTTATAATCATTGTTTGGTATCAAAATACACACATAAATGGACTGATAACTTGGGAGTGAAAACCTCTGACAAACCCTAAAAGTCTACAGAGAAAACTATGTATACATGAGAATTAACCTGCAAAATAATGGTCATGTCATGTAGAATTCTGTATCTCCAAGTACAGTACCAACAGGTATACATATTTAAAACTTATCAGTACCACTAATACATGACAAACATTACCTTATACTGTACCTCTGCTGCAGGAAATCAAACATATGATGAAAATCAAAGCAAATGTTAATTTTTGGTACAGCAGCGCCTTGATAACTCCAGTCTCACTTAAAGTCAAAATCAGTCATTCTTTTCACACAAGTGTGGTATCATGCAGGATGTTACCCCTGTATAACACAAGTGTGGTATCATGCAGGATGTTACCCCTGTATAACACAAGTGTGGTATCAAGTTACCCTGGTATAATAACTTCCTCTTGTAAAAATGATAATTGAGCAATAAAAATAAATTCATCTAAAAAAATGCCAACAGTAAGTCAGACTCATATGTGACTAATAAGTCCAATAAACTGTTTATTTTAAAAACCCTTAATGTGACGTAAACTCAATATAAACAATATGTTAGAAGTTAAATTGTTTTTAGTATAAGTATCACTAAATCAGATAGGTATTCAGAATATACTTAAAATTAATGGAAGGTAATTTTAACACTGTTATTTTGGCAATTGTATAAGCGCTGGTCAGATCAAGATGTCATGTTCCATTACTGACTCAAAATATATGTTGTAAAGCCACTAGCTCGCTCACTAGTGTTATACAATCATATGAAGATGTGAACACAGAGGCACGAAGCCTTTATATTGGTCACACCTAAGTACAGTTTGTTCAAAATTATTCATTAAGAGCTTGATAATTCTTTCATCTATTCTTTGGACAAGATGAAAAATTTGACAAAATACTTTATAAAAGAAAATGGTTCATTCCTGAGATCAAAACAGGGAATCAAGTTATGTGATGCCTTGTGTGGCACCACTTAACTCCAGTATAATATTGAGCACTAAGAAATTTTGAATAACACAGATTATAATATTATATATATATATATATATATATATATATATATATATATATATATATATATATATATATATATATATATATATATATATATATATATATATATATATATATATATATATATATATATAATTTTCCTCTCCTCTCCTTTACAACCATACTATAATTATCTGCAGGTTAATTAATGAGAGAAAAATAATGTGTAGATGTATACAATCATAAACTACTGTATCCTTCATATTAAATATACCGTATATTGAGGGTTAAGGTTTAAATAAGGGTTTGGTCAGAGTGATCTCTACATTCCAGGCTCTCCTGTCTGCATCTCAGGCACCAGTGGCTGGCAGTAGTACGATACAATCACGGTGTTGTGGGTGTGATGGGAAGCAGCTGGGTGGCCACGAGGTCGAGGAGGTGTAGGGCAAGGTCCGCGTTAACTGTCGGATGCTGCAGTGAGTCCACTATTTTCGTTACTGCTTGATGAGACAGCTCTGCTCCAAGTGCCATTCCCAAAACACCTTAGAAACACAAAGTCAAATCAAAATATAAGAGCCACCAGCTATAATTATTAAGACCACCATCATAAAAATAATAATATTTGCAATAGTGGGTTCTGGGGATAAGGAATTTTTCCGGGTTTGAGAAAGTCGTCTTGTTACCCGGAAATCTCTCATCCCCAGAAGTGCTCTGTACCAATTGTTCTGCCTAATGGGGATATCACTGTAACAATAATAATACAGGTAGTCCTCTAATTAAGAATGAGTTACATTCCTGTGTGATGGTCAAAGTTGGGCCAATTTTATATTTACTGTATACTTATGCATTCATATTATGCTCCACCGCCCACAAAACGTGTGAAAATGACAACTAATAAGCAGTTCTAAGTGATGATATTCAAAGCGGTGTGTGTACTTGTGCCAAAAGGGCTGTATATCAAGCAACGGTTTCACTGGTGTAGGTAGTAGGCAACTAATGTACCAAACAAGGAGGCACTACCATCTGGGAAGATATTGGAAGCATAATGTATTGTCTAATGGTAGACTCTGCTGCTATGTGACCAAGTCCCAGGTTGATGATCTGACTTTCTGCAGGGTCTCAATGGTTTCTCTTACTTTGACAACACAACATACATACAGGTATATTGTTTCTCACTCTTGATATTTTTTTTTCATTTTTGTATTTCTTTATTATTATTATTATTATTATTATTATTATTATTATTATTATTATTATTATTATTATTATTATTATTATTATGATTACATTTTTGCCCTCTAGGCCCCAATGTGGGTCAGTGACCTGTGCCCAGATGGGCTAAAACCCGTAATATTTTTTTTTTTAGAATTTCATTTCCAAAATCAGGGTGCGTCTTCCACGATGCAGCATCTTCCAAGCCGAAAAATACGGTAATTACCGGTATTAAAGAATCTACAAGTACAAGTATTGCAGAAAAAAATAGACTTCTTTTACTAATAATGGTTGACTGCTTTGGTGTAGAACCCTTACCATGTTCCAGATTTTGCTTCAACCTTAAGATGAAACAAAAAGTATGCACAGTACAGTATTCAATGAAAATTAAATGAAACTTTCTTTGTAATCTTGTGTAAAATTCACTGATGATTAGACTAACACAAAAGAAAAATACTTGTTTACGACACAGACCCGGCACATGCTTGGTATAGCAGTGAAGTGTGGAGTTGGCGGTGATGCATCAACTCGCCCACAACAGCCCTCCAACAACCCAACATTGTTAGCAATAGGTACTCTCACAGCCTACATCTGTGTCACTGTCACTATCATCCTCAGAAAACATCTCATCTCCCACACACTGAATGTTCCTCACTTGTAAAACTGTCAGTGTCTTCTGTAACTGGGTCTGGGCTGCTGTCACATGTACAGTAGTGGCCATGATCAAAGTGTGGGGCAATATTCTTCCATACAATACAGTACTACATCAAATAGATGACATAAAATGCTACAAAGATTAATTTGAAAACTGTTTTATATAACTTACAGTACTAGAGTACTACAGTACTAGAAATGAAACTTTAAGGTAAATAAATGAATAACCAGAGACTCAGTGGAATGGCTATGAGACGCTACTCTGCTGACCACGCTGCCAGCCAGCGCACTTCAGTGTGTACTTACAGAGCAAAGTTTGAAATTTTAACCAAACAATAAACGGACATACAGACTATACTGTTCGTATCTCTGAAAGTTTGTAAGTGGATGATTGCCAATACTGTAATAATAATAATAATAATAATAATAATAATAATAATAATAATAATAATAATAATTCAGGTTATAATAAATATCTAAACTACTAATTCCTTCCTATGAATACTTCAGGCATGAATACTCTTCATCCACAAACATTTCAGAAAAATTCCTTAATTGGTTTTTGAGATTTGGTTCTATACTCCTACTACTGTACTACTGAAGATGTTCTCCACAGTTCTCAAAAAAAATTGACAGAGAGAAAAGAGTTCCTCCTACAAGAACATGAAATTCCTGCAGTAAGTCAATTCCTTGTCTAGAATTGCCAGATGTAAATTTAATTTCGACTTTCTGGATATTCAAACCCCAGTCCCAACATCTCATAGTTAATCCTGCATGAGTCCAATTATGAAGGAAATGCTGTACAGCACTTTATGCACACCTTGAGAGAAAGAAAGTGCTGTAATGTACTCAACTCAAGACATTTGAAAATCTGTACTTTGTTCCAGCTCAAAATGTGATGAAAGAATTCCAACAGGCACAGCCATAAGCCCATCTGACTGATTCATCTAACACCCAGATTGACCCAAATACACAGACAGTATTTTCAGGTTGAAAATCTTAATTTTTTCTGAGAAAAAATCAAATAACCTAATTTTTTTTAATAATAAAATTTAAGCTCATCACTCAAAATCAATGTAGCTGTCATGTCCTTTAATGCTCCAGAGGAAGTAGTCTTAATAGTGAGGGACCCATAATTCCCAGCCTCTTCATATCTTGTATGGGTCTTCTACCTACAGTACACAGTTTGTCAACACCTTGAAACATCCCATACACCAGTATTCCATTCTCTCACTCTCCCTAAGGGTCCAACTTACCTGGAATGAAGTCTTTGAAAGATTCCTGTAATTTTACACGTGATTTTGCAACCTCCTCTGGGGAGGGTGGAGGTCGTGGTGCTTCTTCCACAGCAACCAAAATGGCATCTCTTACGGTCTGAATATATTCTACTGTAGAATTTTCACAAAATAGATGCTCCAATTCAGCCTAAAATTACCCAACAAAAATAATATTAAGTATTTGCTGAACTGTAAGTATAGAAGACAAACAATTACAAATTCATGTGATATTCAGTTAGGAATTTAATTGAAAATTGGAGAATAAGTGCAACATTAACACCAATATATTAACTATTTAATTGTACATTAATTAATTTTTTTTTTAATTTAGGTAAACTATGGTTATGTTTAGTTTAATCTGGTTTGTTTGTGTAATTTGAAAAAATAAATGCCATAGCAATCCTAATCATGGCATTCTTGTTAAGAACTTTGCACAGAATACAGCTTGGGTACCTGTAGCCACTTGTGAGTGATCCTTGCCAGAGTGAGTGTAAGTAGTGTGACACACGGCTGGTGTGTGAGTGGGTGGTCATACGGGGACAGGATCTCCACTACAGCATCTAACAGTCCAACAGACAATGGCCATTCCTCCCAGGATCCACCAGCGTCTTCCTCTGCAAAGAGAAATTCTAAAATGTAGAGATACAGTACAGTACTAATTTATTCTATTCAGGATATTTGTTTGACCTTAAAAAATACACATCATCTGTGAACATGTACAGGTGAACCCTGATAACCGATGACCCGTTGACCGCCGATTCGCATAACCAACGATTACATATTGGGGAAATACCCGCAAGTTTTGTTGATACCCCAGTGATCTGATGATTGGCAGAACTGGCGTGGTGCAAATTCTTGCCACCAGAGGACTCTGCCCACTGCCTCTGACTCATTCCCGCCATCCTTGCTCTTGTTTATACTCCCTATACGTGTGTCGGACTTCGTGTTTTTTTTTCTGACTTAGTGTGTTACTCAATCATGCCTAAACACCCCAGTAATAGTTCCTCTTATGCCGGGCAACTTGATGTGATGTGATAAGGTGTAATAAGACATAATAAGAGTGGTGATGGACCAGCAAAGAGTGGTAGACTTGAACTTACTACCCTAAACCATGTCTACCATCCTCAACACAGGTAAGTAACAGTCTCAATTTATGCTTTACAGTGCTTATGTAAGGGTTATTATGCTTGCTTTATATGTCTGCTTTATTTTCTTGCTTGACAGTGCAGAGATATATCAAGGGTAGATGGGAATTTTTGGAGGATGGCCGGTCCCTAACCCCCTGAATTAGTTGTGTTGGTTAACGGGGTATGCCTGTATAATAAACTCAGTGTACAGTACAGCATGTGGTAGTTATTGGCAATTCCTGTGCCCACAATCATCTCATACTTTCAGTAACTTAACAATTTAATCTGATGACTCAACCTATTTTTTATGGACTAAACAGACTCTCAATCTCCTGTCACAGTGCTATGTGTGTACAGTATAATAAATTACAACACCATAATGTGTGTATAACAAATTATAGTACCATAATGAATATATAACAAACAATACAGTATTTCTCATATTAACTCTATCAGGGTCAGCCCATCCATCATTAGTGCTGCTAGACCTTACCCTCAGGTTTGTGGTATTTGCCATTGAAAACGCATTCAACATATTTTTTGTCGGGGACTTTTTTACAACTAAAGAAACTGAAAATGGTGTAAGTGGAATGTCTTCAAAGGTAAAAAAGATGCAAGGAATCACCTAGAATCACAAAAAAAGCAAAAATCCAGAATACTGTATAAAGTACTTTAGACCTACTATGTATTGAGTAAATTAAAACAAAATCATTAATGGTGTTGATAAATATTAGTGATTTATAATATGTGATGAACCTGACAGAAGAGAGGAAAAGCTTGGGGATACAGTGGTGGTGTAGCCAGAAATAATACTTGGATGTTGTGAAAACTGACTGTTGGTGATGATGGTGAGTGTTGGTGATTATGGTGATTGTTGATGATGGCAAGTGTTGGTGATTATGGTGATTGTTGATGATGGCAAGTGTTGGTGATTATAGTGATTGTTGGTGATGATGGTGAGTGTTGGTGATTATAGTGATTGTTGATGATGGCAAGTGTTGGTGATTATAGTGAGTGTTGGTGATTATGGTGATTGTTAGTGGTAATGGTGAGTGTTGGTGGTGAAAAGTGACCTACGTAATATAACAGATCAAGTCCGTTATTATTCTGGATACGTATATAACAAACTTTTGGCTTTAACGATCCGGCCTTCCCCAATCAGTCCGTTATATTGAGGGATTACTGTACAGTGAACTTTAGATGACTGGTGGAGAAGATTGTCCCCCTGGAACCCTTTAAAAATTATAACATGTGAAGTAATGGGAAATTAAATTGCTTTTTATGAGTTTTCACCTTACCAGCAGTTTTCAAGTAACAAGTTAAGCTTGTATAATGGGGGATTCATATATTCAACTCTCATTAGTATCCAGCTTCCTAGAAGCTAGAGGGAAGGTGGACAGTAATGGTCAAACTCTACAAATATCAACCTTTATGACACACCTCAACACTTCACATCATCAAGCATTTCAGCACATCTACAATATTGTCAGGATGCACGATTATCCACACACAAGGGTCAGCATGTCTGAAGTGATTCGTGTTTATGTCCAAGGCGAGGAAAGTGTTCCACTCACATTTAGAGCAGGACTGGAGGTGTGTGCACTCATTCATGACCTTGAAACATTACCCAGCATGGGTCAACTATGACATATTGCCCCATGAAGAAATTGTGGACAAGTTATTTGGTGACCAAATCTGAACCAGATCCACCATTGAGTTAACAATCTTCTATGTACAGTATATATTTTACCTGTTGGATGCCACCATGGCACAGGTCATCGACCCACAACAGGGCCTGGGGGGTGAAAAAATAAGAGTAAAAAGAAATTAAAAATAGAAGAGGAAAAGATTATATTAATGTACACCATGAAGATGCAGAGATATCAGCTTCTTGAAGTGAGACAGATTGTATGAGTATGGAAACACAGAAGGCAGAGCATTCCACAGTTTGGCTGTGTGAGGAAAGAAGGATGTACTATAACGGGTTATTCTAGTGTGACTGACATCCACACAGAAACGGTGGACACCGCGGGCAAGATGAGTGCTATGAGCTCACAGCCTTGCCGGCGGTACACGAGATGCCAAATCCACCGAACATTGCCCGTTAAAGTACCTGTAAAAGAGAGAGAGTGAAGCAACATTGCAGCAAAGAGAAAGGGAAGAAAGATTATCAACTAAAGGAGGAGAGTTAATAAGATGAAATGCCTTTGATTCCACCCTATCTAACAGTTAGACAGAAGTAGAGCCACCCCAGATATGAGAACAGTACTCCAAGTTAGGACGAATGAATCCCTTATGAACTTGAAGCAACTGCTTAGGAGTGAAGTAGCTACGGCATCTGTAGAACATTCCACTTTCGGGAAGCAGCTTTAGCAATGTTGTGGATGTGTGGCTTCCATAACATATTAAAGGAAATGGTGAGACCCAGCATATCTATTTTAGAATTTGGCAGAAAGATTGTGTCCTGAAATGTGATTGGTGGGAGATCTTCTATTTTGAAAAGTGTAATTGGTAAATACTGAGTTTTATTACTATTGAATTTAACCAAGTTTCTACCTCCCCATTCGGAGATGCTGCACAGATCCACATTGATAGATGAAATGATATCAGCTCTAGAAACAGATCTAGTTTGAGAATTAGGGGGAAGGGAAAAATGTGAAGAAGAGTGAAGAGTAGAATCACCAGCATAAGGATTACATTCTAAATCCTTTTAGGGAAACAACATTGAACCTTTTGCGCATACCAGAAAGATTGAAGTTTTAAGAAATTTCATTAACCCCAATTAGGGTATGCAGGTAGTAGCGACCCTGAATTGCCAGCTATTCCCACTCTGTAGGTTGGTATTAAGAAGGGCATCCAGCCATAAAACTCTACTTTAACATACTTGATGGCAGCTGCATCACCAGAGCTGTGCCCATCCCCTGGTCTCTGCTGCCTTTTCTGAACTGGTACACTTTACCTGGGTTACCAGTGAGCAGGGGTAAGGCATCCCAATTTGGTTTTAACCAACAACTCCCATCAGGTAATCAAGGCTAACTCATGCAAGCATGGAAAATGGCCATAAAATAATGATGCTGATGAATTACCTGAGGTGGGAAAAATACTTGCCATTTAAAGAGTCTCGGTGACTGTCACGTCGAGGTAGAGCATTAACATCACAACCATCTCCTTCAGACCGAGGACCAGGAGGAGGAAGATGCTGCAGGAGAGAACTTGAGGGGTAGAGGGAACACGCTCCACCTCCCACATCGGAATCACCTCTTCCAACCACCACTGAGTATTGGTGTTGATGTTGTTGCTGCTGCTGTTGCTGGCTCTGTTGCTGTTCCTGCTGGTACTGACACTGAACATGTGTGAAGGGTAATGGGGAGAATAGGTTACGGTTTTCTCGTGCTTCATATGCAGAGTCTATCAGTTCATCTCTCGTGGCACCTGACACCTCTCTGTTTAAAGCCTCTTCTATTTGGCAGTCCTGTAAAACAAAACAAAGTCTATTAATATGTATATCCTAAACATGTAACACATATTAGATATATTGTATTGTATTTTTTGTTTAGGTTAGATTAAGTTAGGTACAGTTGTCACATCAAAAACAGACTTGAAAAAAAAAAAATGTCAGGATACACACAATGAAGTGAGATAAGTATAAATATCAATAAGCTAATTTTGAGATGCAATGGACATTCTGGAGAGCTTACCCTTCTTTCTATATAGAATGCTAACTAATCTTTACTACATTTGAGTCCAACATCCATCTAATCTTCACTATACTTGAGTCCAACTAGTCTTCACTATAACCTTTAATTCTACAATATGATGGCAGGAGGGAAAAGGGTTCATTTCATATACAGTTGAAACCTTATAGATCATGGCACTACAATACATTCCTACTCCTAAGTGATACAACAAAAAAGTGATTATAATTCTCAACAATTCAATGAGAAAAATTACTAGGTAGTTTGGCTTCAACAGCAGACCATATCCCTATTCTGGTGTTAGTTTTCACTCACCTACATAAACTTATTTATGGTAAAAGATATACAGTAATTACTTATTTACAACTGACACAAACAGAAATTTGAAAATAAAGTACAGGAAGAAATCCTTACAGGTGAAAAAACAAGCTCAGGCACTGTACCCAGCAGATTAGAGACATTGAACTAAATATATACAGTATATACAATAAATGCAGCAGACAAATATAAACAAGAAAAAAATAATCTGAGATAGTAAGTAGGATATTGTTCTCATAACCTGTCCGGTTGCAATAATGCTACACAGTGGAAGAACTAGTCAGACACCATGAAGCTCAATGTCATAATAAAGTGATAAGCTAAAGGAAGTTTCTAACAAACATATCCTAGAATTCATTATAACATAGAGACAATAAAAATATGTATAACACAGTAGCTCTTTCCATCCTGGACCCATGTTGCTCATCTAAATACACAGATAAAAACACCACTGACTCCTCCTGACACTATTGTATAATGGCATAAATAAATATCCAAACTTAAAGTAACTTCTTACCTCCTCTTCTGCTGTAATATCAAGTTTAAGTTCATATTCTGCCTTGTTTCCACTGGAGAGGAAAACTGCCAACTTGTTACGTTCACTCAGTACTCCTCCTCCTCCAGATTTGCTCTTGAGCAAGCCATCTCCACCAGAACCTCCACTCATTCCCCCACTGTGGTTGGTAACTGGCTCAGTTGCTCCAGTTTGATTATCAGATGATTCGAAGCTTGGAAGAGCTGTTTTCAGGCTGTGGAACACTCCTGATACAGTCTTGGCCAAGAGCTACAAATAGCAACAATGATTATTATTATTTATGTTTTTTTTACAAGAAAGATATTCTGTATTATTTCATTTTCTTTTTAATTGAGAATCTGATGATGCCTTGCAGTAAGCATAGAGGTTAAGAATTCACTTTGTTTGTACAATGAGACCATGAGTAATTGGTTGTGTGTGGAGTGTTTGAATTTGCTCTTCAGCCCTTTCCTGTTTCTCTCTACCTTCTCTTACAAATTTTTCCTCTAATATTTCCTCCATTCTCTAAGGTTACCACTTCATTTTATCCACCTTAGGCAACAGTGGAAGAGGAAAATAACCAAGAGTTGGATATACAGTTAGACAGAAATACAATTCAACAAATATAAAACAACGTTGGGTAAACTCTGCTGACTTGGATGGGATGCTTTAGTATAATATTTAAAATCAAGGAGCCCAATCATCTATTAATGCTTCTTGAACAATAGTGAACTCATCAAACCCGAAGTGAACTTGTGGCTAAACCATGGGCTTTATATTTTCAAAGCAGACTACAATATATATGCATGAGTGAGGCTGTTTAAAGTTGAATGCTGTACTGTATACTTATTTGAAGTTTAATATACATTTCTAAAATAAGTTGACTTTTCTTAGAGATAAATGCATCAACAAAACTTTCATCTTTAGCTGAAAAGTAACTCCAGGTATTTGGCCTAAGAGAGGGGAAAGGGCTAAGACAATATGTAGAAACACTCAACACACTTTTTCAGACTGTGACCAAGGTAAGAGTGTGTTACCTTGTCTAATCGAGGAACATGTAACTCCAGAGGCTTCTTAACAAATGACACGGACGAATCTGAGCCATAGGCCAAGAACTCCTTCACATGGGTGGATATATTCACCTCAGGCCGCTGAATAACAGACTGTTGGCAGAACATATTTAATACAAATTAGTAATTATAAGAACACATTTTGGCTTCACGGGTTTCCTGTTAGTGTGATGTCATGGCTAAACCTACCCAAGGGAATTTTTCCCAAGTCCTTTTTAAAGATTTTGTTTTTTACACTAACACTATAAACCTGTTTTTTTTTTTTCATTTTTTATCCACATTTTGAGTAATAGCTACAATAACACTGACACAAAAATGGGTTTGGTGTTATTCTAACTCTGTAATGTGTGTGGTCACACATTCTACTCATACGTTGTGTTTTGTCTTATGTATTTATGTCCTTGATTAATATATCTTGCACAGGTAACTGCTTAACTCTCTCCCACCCCTCTAGCCCCCCTACACTCTGACCCTCCTCAGCCCCCGCATTACCCCGCCACCCACTCACACACCGGCTCCAGTCCTCCCCGGGCTCCCTCTCTCTCCCTTGCTTATAAATGTTTCGGATTCAAGAGTCGATACTCCCAGGGATCACACCACACAGAGGGGGTACATTGACAATGCTCTTGTACCAGTTGGAAATGGAAGAGGCTGTACATTACTCTACCTGTACTTTATGTTATGTTATTGTCTTCACATAAAATTACTACATCTGTACTCCATACTGAAGTTTGTAATTGTGAGAGGTTAATAAACTGTACTGTATACAGGCATAAATTTTATCATATCCAGATTCATCACACTTAATACTAAGCTTTTGGAATATAGAGACAGTGTGGCTGGCATTGCACTCAACAGACTTAACATCTTCAGCTGATAAATTACTTGCTCATTCACAGCTGGGTGAACTAGGTACAGTATACCCCAAGCAAAAACCCAGGAATAACTTTAAAACATGACACGAGGACTGTACCCACTTGGCTGTCACACCCAAACATTATTTCACCTAAATCTGTACAAATATTCATATTCATGAATAAACTTTCTGACTGTATTATTATATTGTACAGTACTACAGTATGTTTCTAATTCTGTTTCTGTTATTATGAGCGACAAAAGATGATCCTTCACCTGAAGATATTTTTCCAAAAACTGTTTTCGTGTAGCAATAGTTGTCGAGTCCAGCTTGCTGAAGGGCAAGTTCAGCCACTTGTTGGGCCCCTTAACACCCTTCATCGCAGTCCGCAGTCTTGAATCGTCTTCCAGGGCAGCGTGAAGTGTCAGAAACTCTCGAAATCTGACAAAATATTGACATTGCTTTAATACCCTTCACCAAACATATTTTTTCCCACTTCTGACACAACACCCCTTTCTTACCATGACTGAATGAGAAGAATCCAGAGCCACAGGTTCTCTCTTGTTCATTTACTGTTATTCATTTTTTCGAGTTGTCTTACCTGGTGTGTTCTGCCACGGTGTTCTCCCACAGTTACCTTGTGTGTTCTGCCGCAGACATATTACTTAAGATTTCCACTGAATTTATTAATGTTGCTTCATCACACAAGGTAAATTTTTGTGATCAAAATATTTACAAAGTATTTATTATACTACTTTACAGACACGCATACTGTACTGTACATCAATAAGGAGTGTTTCATATTAATTAAAGCACTGTTGCTCTTCCCTCCTGTAATTTTTTATTACACAATCTGTCTCCGACTAATATATTCACCCCTCTCCTACTACTGTTGGGGATTTTGTTGTTGTTATAATGTTATTACCGCACTTCAACAAAGAAGGTCTTTAAGCACGTAACAAGGTTAGTGATACACCAGTCCAACAACAATAAATAATTATTAGAGATATAAGTCCTTGTATTTTGGGGATAGATCAATAAGTAGTAATGCTTTCAGATAAAAATCACAGAGAAGAAATACAACTACAGTACATACTGTATTCTAATCATACAAAACTTATTCCAATATAATTAATATAAGTCTTCCATACCTTCTCTTCACACAATTAGTCTGAAGGACCATGCGAGGTTCAGAGATGACAACTGGCTCACTTGCACCTTCCTCCCCGCCCTCAGTCGCTGGTGCTGCTGTGGTGCTCTCACAGAGGTAAATGGCATCATACTGAAATAGAAAGAGATATTCAATCATAAATTTCTTACATCAAAGTTGAAATTTGAAGAGATTGATTGTCATACAAGATTTTTCAAAACAGTAATCTCCTACCATGGTACAGGGAGGACCCTAATGGAATAATCATTTGATGACTTTGTTGGTTATCCTTGATCAAAGTGCCTTATTGTTTCCCATTGTTCATATACGTACCTGCACTCTCTAGGTAGATTGGTTGTTTAACAGCAAGGTCTAAGTATACTGTCTTTTTTGCAGGCTAAATTGTATACAGGTACCTGCTGAATCAATTGTAAACTTGTTTGATAACTTTCTTTAATAAATCTTACTATCTATCTATGTCAGAAACACTTCCTCATTTCCTGTTATTTGTTAAGGTATTCCTCTTTCATAACACCAAGTCATCTATCTGGGTTACCCTGTTACTTTATACGTCACTGTCCACACACTTAAACTATTTGATGTCATTATTTCTCATCATATTAACTAACCTAACCTAAACACAGATCCTGCAGGACAAACAAACACCTGTTAACATCTAGAAATCATGGAAGGCAAGACTCTGTGTCATTGTTTTTAATGATAATAAAAAACTGAAGCTTTAAACAGTATACAGTATTTCTTTTTCATCTGACATGCTTCTTCTATCATCTATTAATAATCAACTTACTATACCCTTGTACATACCAATGGCATCAAGTTAGGTGGAGAGTCAGTGAAATCAAGAACAGAGACCTGAACTACTGTTTTAAGGGTTCAAGATATAGCTTGAAAGTTAGAAAAAGGCAATTCTCTCAAGTAGTCTAATTTATTCTGCATTATATATATATTTTTTAATATGCAATGTGATGTGCAAGCTGCACAATAAATTCTAAATGTATTTATAATCTTGATTAATTCACTTATCTTCACTTTTTCAATTATTGATATATTTAACAGGCATTTTTTTCACTATTTTCTCACAAGTGTAACAAAAGAGATTCGAGTATGATAAAAAAGTGAACCTCTCATAATATACACCTCAGAATCTCTCAAAACTCAGCACTGCAAAATAGTTTTAGATTGATGTGTGATTTCAGGCCAACATCCATTTCCTTTACAAAGGCTTCTAGATAACTTTGATTACAAGCTACCAAAATAAGGAGACTACAGTACTGTATAGTGTATTAAACAACTGAGAACCCAATGCAACTCTCTAAGTGCAGTAAGCATCTGAATTTATCTAAATGTAATAAAGTAAGATTATAACTACAGTAGCATAACAAAATACTGTAATGTAAGTTAAAGATACATAAGAGGGTCACCTAAATTTTATAAGCAGGTGACCTACTCTTACCTGACCACACACCATTGAGAAACTGGACAAGAACACTGAAGTGCTGTAAATCACATAGACTCACTCACCTGGATGGTATAGTGAGTGTACTGAGCTCCTCCAGGTTCTGTGTGTACTTCTGTCGCTGGAACACATATACTGAGGAACACTCGGCCATCTAAGGGTATCTCGGCTGCTTCTAAAAGTTCCTCGTCTGCAATACCATTCCCAGATGACTCAAGGCTTGAGACAGATTTTACTGATGCTGTAAAATAATTGAAAATGATATCATTTACATTTTTTTTAAATACAAAAACCTAAGTACTGGTGCCACTATGACCCAGATGAAGAAATGAAAGACAAATGCTGTTACAAGTCAGAAACATATTTAGAGCCTTGGAGGATGTACTGTACAAGTAAAACAAATATGATTCCAATGATAAACCTTACATTTGTATATTGCACAACCACAATGACATTACAGGTGTATATATATATATATATATGGTCAATCCATTTTTCTGCCATTATAAACAAGTTTCTAACACATACTCAACATTAAAATCATAATTAAAAAAACTATATGAGTGTTTATTTCAAGTTCAATTTTGACAGAAACTGAAACTCTCTCTGTTTTCATGGAGGTAACATCTTGCTTGAGACTCTCTTCAAAACGCCTGTTTCCAAGCAAATTATTGGTCAAAATATATTTTACATATTGACAATATATAATGCCAGTGTTGATTTAAAGAAAATAATCTTGAATTACACCAAGAGAGCTAAAATCGCCATGGGGTGACTTCTCTTCCACACTTCTCTTCTTCCTTCTCCTCCACCCCCATTCTAAATCCCATCATCATCATCATCATCATCATCCAGCCTTCTACAACACACCTCAAAGTAAGTGAACCTTTCTACCATTTTTGTTGAATTTAGGAAATTTTCGGTGAGCTGGAACCAGTAGAACTTTTCCTTCTGCCATTAACGCACTGTATATATATATATATATATATATATATATATATATATATATATATATATATATATATATATATATATATATATGGTCAATCCATTTTTCTGCCATTATAAACAAGTTCTACACATACTCCATTAAAATCATATTAAAAAAATATATTAGTGTATTTCAAGTTCTTTACAGAAACTGAAACATTTACTTAACCCATTTTCAATCTTCTCCAAATAAACAAATTCCAAACACAGCTTCGAAAAGTTACGACATACAGTAGACCCTTGCCATTCGCGAGGGATAGGTTCCAAGAAATGGCGCGAATTGGCAAACCGGCGAATAGCAACTTATACTGTAGTGTACTACCTTAGTGCACTACTGTATACCTATACCAGACAACTGACCAGCCGCAGCAGCACTCATCTCCTCTTTTAACTTGTCTAATAATTCAACTTTCTTTGTCAGGGTCATCACTGACTTCTGTCCTTTACATTTCACTCCACTAGCACTAGCACTGACACTAGGCAGTTTTTTAGGGGCCATTTCACACAGAAACACTAAAGTTTTGAGAGTACAATACAACACGAGATGTTGTGTGGGGTGACTCATTGTGCTGTGGGAAAAGGCTTGCAAACTAGCCACCATCTACTTACCATGAGTCGTCGAAATCGCTAATCATAAACTCGGGAATGGCAAGGGTCTACTGTACTCAATTTCTTTCTTATCAGTGATGCCTCACTTCCATATGTGAGAGTTGGACATGACACAAGAGTCTCCAGGCTGCTCTATCATTACAAATTTTGGATCTGATGAAGATTAGGAACCTCCCATTTGCCTGTGTTTCACCTGATAATTAAACACGATAAAGCTAAATGTGGGAGGGTGGTTAGATTAGGCCAGGTCGAGTTTAGTTTTGGCTATACTCCTCTATTAACATTGTGTTTAATCATCAGGTAATATAAATGGAGATTCCTAATTTTCATGAGATCCCAAATTTCCTTTATCCTCTCTCTTCCTAATACTGTACTGTGCTACCTCCCTATTCCTAAGTTCATGTATTGCTCCAACTTTCTCTTCCACAATGTAGAATGTCCTCTCATCATAACACGTCCACTACACAATCTCTCTGTAATCCTGTCCTCTGGCATCCTTCCCACATACCCATACCAACTCAGTTTAAACTCCATCTCTTGTAGCCAATATGTGTTTTCTTGATATACTGTATAGTCAAGTGATTCCGAATTGAAACCCAACCCTTTATAATAATCTATTAATATTATTGATGCCCTGTTGCCTCCGTGCCTTCAGTGGTAAATACACACACTCATCAACACAACACCAAACCATTGATCAATGTTTAAGGTCTTGTAATAAACCTGAATAATTTAGCTACGAATTCTACATACCAGGTACTGTCTTTATTAACGTCCATGTATCTATCTGTCTATACTGTACACTATCTTGATTCCCCTCTCTTACTACTTGTATTGTGTAGGGGTGATTTTGGGGTACTAAAGCTTGAGAATGTGAGGGGGGGGGGGGAATGCAAGCATAGAAAATAATGGGAAGTTACTAAGGCAACAAGGAGAAACACTTTAATCACACAAACTTCTATCCTAACCTTATATGCTCAATACACAGAGTGAATACAGTATTCAAAATCCTAATTACCATTAAATTTATGAAGACAAAAAGTGTAAACTTTACAATGATTGTTGTCTAACTGATATACTAACCCAATGAGCCTGAACTGTCTTTATGAGTGAAGGTGAATCTGGATTTCTCCAAACTGTATCGTCCCGGATCAGATTGTGCAGATTTGGGTTCACTATCACTTGATCCATAAGAACTCAGGCTTCCGAGGCTATGCTGGCTCTCCCTCTCAGTAAGTAACGATCTGGAAGAAAATAATAATAATCCTTCTCAATTGTTTAGCACCATACTGATGACCAATTTTAAGGCACACAACACAATACAAAAAGGAAGTACTGTAGTGTACTGTACTGTATATAAAACTAATGCAATCACTCACAACAAGTGTATCTTTATTTTTCAATTACCTGTACAGTACAGTACTTTGTGAATTCTATATAGTATGTCAAAGATTGGATTAACACAAGTTTTATATTTCCTGCTAAGCAAACTAATTAACTAAAATACAATCTATGTGGCCTTGAAGTCACAAATAATTAAAGACATAACTGTACAGATAAAGCGATTGCATACTGTATGTGTTCAAACATAAACAGTAGCTCAAAATGGACATCAAACTGAACCTGGGAAAGCTAAGTTAACAGCATGATGCTATAACTACTACTACTGGATCCTGTATTGTACTGTGTTACTGTATATACTGTACTGCAGTAACACGTCATAAATAAAAAAAAGAGTAAAATGGAAAATATTGGGGGTTGCATCACAACTCACCTAAACTTCACACAGAAACTTTAAATAACCTCTTATCAATATATTTTGGACAAAAATACACTAAAAATTTAATTTAATTATTACAAGAAATAATAAAGAAGAAAAAGTTAATAAGCAAGATAAGCTAGGTAACTGTGCACCCCCAAAGGCCAGACAGTAGTGAGTAATAGTGTACTTACAGGGAATAACTGAACACCTCCTTCCCATCCTATACTGTATAATATTAAAACCTTCACAACTGTATTGCACACAGGCCACCTTCCTCAATGCTTCTTCACCCTTTCTATCACTACACACTGTACTGTACTGGTGAGCTATGCTACTGTTGTACCACATTCTTAAAGATCCAGGCAGTTCATAACCTTGATACTAAAGTGACACTTACTTCTTACCAAACTATTGAATTCAGAAACACATGGTGCTGGTCATTTCTTATTATGCAATGGAGTAGCCACAATGTCTAAATAATCAACAACATCACTACCGCTGGAGCAGGAATGATCGTGATGCTGAGATAAAACAGGATGATGCACCCAACATCAAACAGTACCACAGTAATTTACGTTGTGGCCAGCAGGAAGCATTTGTTTATGGTTTCATTTTACAGTACAATATTAACCCTTAATGTCCTAAATTTGTATAAGATTTTCTCTTTGGATATGGGACTGACTTTCAGTTCTGCTTAAACATACGTGACAGTTCTGATAAATAATTCCAATTTTCAAGAATGTTTCCACCTACCCCTTACACACATGGCCCCTTTCTTGTTGAACCTCATTTCTCCCAGTCCAAACCTTGAACCCTGACCTAGAAGAAATAAGTCAACGTTATCCATGAGTGCAGCAGTAACATGTATGATACAGTACCACAATAATGGCCACTGCCATACAGTATTTGTTCCACAGATGCTCGGTCACAAAGTGTGTCATACAGCACACACAAATGTCAACAGGGATGGACATAAGGACACACAGACAGACGACAGGAAGTACGGAGCGATACTGTACAGGTACTTCCATGTCTTACTTTCTTCTGGATGTGGGGGTCAAGCACTAAGGGCTGAACAGTTCACTTGTAATACAGTACTATACTGAATAATGTGACTAAAAGATCTAATTACTGTATACAGAAGACCTTTGCTAACCGTGGATTTTACTCTGTATACAATTTCACCAACCACGGCCTCGAATTTCAAGTATGCGTGGATTAGTGTGGCTTCTTTATCTCTCCGCAGTCTAATAGATTCCTTCATAAATGTGAGGAATGAATAAAAATAATACTAATAAATAAAAGAAAAGAAAAAATACTGCATTGCTCTTTGGCAACTGTTTCACTAAGGACACGGGAGACAGGAGCGTACTCCCCATCCCACGATCACAGGCAACTCCCACGGACATAAGAAATGTTTATTCTCTTTTTGTTTTTGACCTTACGATAATCATTTCTATTATTTTTTTTACACATTCTGTATGAATGATTGTGTACATATAACAGTGAAAAATAAAATAAATTACATACATCTACCCAAAAATTCAAGTTAAAACATAAAAACAACACAGCTTGGCCTGGTAGGGGAATGTAGCTAAAGGGGCAGTCTAACTTGGTGACCTGCCAAGTCCACATACTGTACACATGTTCACTTCACACATACTGTATATACAGTACACCCGTACTCTTTATATTTATTTTATAGCAACGTGCCATCTCCATGTACGGTAAAACTTATATTACTATTTAATTTGTATTAGTGATCTTATATGTATTTCACTCAAATTTAATTAAATGTACAATACAGGTATTGATTAGTGAAAGAACAGGCAACTTAGTTAGGCTTTGACGAGTGTTATCCGTGGCCAGGAACCCAACCCTGTTTCCGTACGAGTTCTGTCTTGCCAACTGTGGATTTGCCAACCACGGGTTTTTTGTAGAACCTAACCCCCACGGTTGGCGAGGGATTACTGTACATCATCTTTCCTATGCTCCTCTTTACAGGTGAAGTAAGGTGGTCACAGACTCTCCTCACTTGCTGTCTTTCAATCTTTACAGCGGCTGTAACAGATGTGTTCTGGTATGGTCTATTTCCATTACATGATTCCATGTACAATATGTAGGGTGATGTGTGCATATAACCGAGTAAAAATAAATGAAGAAAGTTTTTTATATCTGCCCAAAAAATACGAGATGAAAAACCATAACACCTCTCAGCTTGGCCCAGTAGCCTAGTGGTTATAGTGACGAGTCTAACCTGGATACAATGCCGCCAGCGATGTTAACAGAAGCAAATGTGAAAAGAAAGTTATCTGTAAATCTTCATTTGTATCAGGTATTTGTAGATTTAAAAATAAATGTTGCAGGTATGGCATTAATAGATACTCTGTTGTACTGCTTGTAAGAGTTTAGACATGGTTACTGCTTAGCTACCTCTGAAGAGTTGGGTGTCTGCCGTACGGACATTAATCGTTTCGGGTTATCACCATCAGTGCAGTAGTTATAAATCAAGCTTTTATATTTACAATACTCATAATTAAGTCAAAATAATAATAATGTGTTTACCTAAGCAATAACATATTTTTAATTCTGGAGTTGGGTGAGGTATAATTTAGCCTACTGGAGACAACATCTGGGGGATTCATTAGCTTGCAAAAAACCTCAACTTCACATATAGGATGCAGGCTGATTTTTTTTTTGCCATTTTTCAGACAAAAAAGTGCTTCTTATATGTCATAAAATACAGTAATTATTCCTTTGTTAGTCCTGTTACACTTCAGAATCATACCCAAGTCACATAGTGTACCCCTGAGCCTTCTGCTCTACACTCTCTTTCTATAGATATACATAATCTATCTCCAGGCCAGCCTATCAGAACCTACTGTGACAAAGACAGTCTTTTAGGATACAATACTATAAGGTAATATCAGATCACATGAAGATTAGTAACCAGCTTTTTTTGCCCAATGATTAAACACCCTAATGCTACCTTTGGGGTTAGGTTAGGATACATTCAATTAGGTTTTGCTAGGTTAAATTAGGTTAGGTTAAGTTAAATCAGGTTAGGTTAGCATTAGGATATTTAATCATTAGGTGAAATAAGCTGGGGTGCTAACCTTGTGTTCAGATCATACCTTCTACACTTTGAAAACAAATGACATTTTTATTTCCTGTCTAAACACAACACTTTAGTATCTTTTATGGGACTCTTAGAATCTTTACATTACACCTTAAGCATTTACAACCTACATGTACTGTACTCAAGAGCCACAACACCTACGTCCACTGTTTTAACCCTTAAACAGCAGCCATCATCAGTGGAAGTTAGCTGTAGGGACGGCAGCCATCATCAGTAGAAGTTAACTAAAGGGACAGTGGCCATCATCAGTGGGAGTTAGCTGTAGGAATGGTGGCCACCATCAGTGGAAGTTAGCTGCTTGGACAGGTGTAGGGATGGCAGCCATCGTCAGCGGATGTTAGCTGTAGGGACAGTGGCCATCATCAGTGGAAGTTAGCTGTAGGGATGGCAGCCATCATCAGTGGAAGTTAGCTGTAGGGACAGTGGCCATCATCAGTGGAAGTTAGCTGTAGGGACAGTGGCCATCATCAGTGGAAGTTAGCTGTAGGGATGGCAGCCATCATCAGTGGAAGTTAGGTGTAGGGATGGCAGCCATCATCAGTGGAAGTTAGCTGTAGGGCCAGTGGCCATCATCAGTAGTTGTTTCATGTTCCATGCATTCCATTTTGGCATATGTGGAAGCGGAGTAGGGAATCTAGCCGCTGGTTAAGGGTTAAACATCTGTGGCAGAATCCTGCTTGACAACAAGACTACAGCTTAAAGATACAGACATCACTTACACTGTACATTGCTGCATGAACATGCAAGAACAATTGAACTTGTTGAAATAAATGAAAAGGAGAAAGCACATGGAAGTAGTTACTGTACTGAAAGACTATTGTGAAGTGGAAGAAAAAAGATAAATACTGTGTATAAAAATATGAAGGCAATACTACATTAAGTTTACCAGTATACTGCTTGTATTATCACTTTGAAATAATATACTGTACATAATCTTACCATTTAACTCAAAAGCAACATGAACTCTCCTGGCCATACCTTAATTTGGCAATCGATGATGCCAAGTCTTCACTTTCTTCATAAATTGGTGAGAGGTCTGGATTGTCCCATCCAAATCCAGCATTATTTAGCAGAGGTGAACCTGGAATTTCTAAGTTATTGGGAGACTCCACGTCTGTGGCTTGTTTGTCTAAAGACGAGGTTGTATTCGTAGTTTGCGATAATTCTGAACTCACTGAATCATGAGAAATACAGTTCTGACCACTCTGGGAAACTTCAGATCTTGGACTTTGTTTTCCTTTATTTAAACCACCAGTTTTTGTATTAAGTTTGCTACTCTGTATAGACGCATCGTCTGTTCCATCATTCTTATCAAAAGAAAGCATTTTGACTAAATGACCTTTTTCTTTTCTATTACCTAATTCTTCACCTTCACTTGTACTATATGAAGCATCTTGAACCCAACTGTATTTATCTACTTTATCCTTTGGTTGGTCCAGCTCACCCAGAGAAGAATGTAATGTTTTTGCCTCAGTATCTAAAGTTATATCTTTTTCTTTGTTTACAAGATTTCCACAGCTCTTACTTCTGGGTATGTCCCTGAGACTTGGCACCGCTAGCAACATTTCTGTATCTTTACTATTTACAGATTCACTGTCCTCAACACGAATTTCTATATTCCCTTCTTCTAACTTTGGCACCAAAAAATAGTCTTCGTCTGGACTCGACACACATACTGCCGTCTTCTTGTCTTTTGTTGGATAGTACATCAATTTGTAATCTTCCTCTTTCATCCCTTCCACAACATTACGCGAAAAGGGATTTTTCTTTTTCTTAACGGGCTGAACGTCAACAAAACACTTGTCCTCAACGGGACTCTCCCACATTTTGGACACGAGTGGCTGATATGGGAGGGAAGAGGAGTTGTCGGGCAGCAGTGGCCCAGCTGTTGTGGATATGAAAGTGCCCAAGGCTGAAGACACACTCTTGTATTCCTCCTCTTCACTACCTGTACTCTCCCTTTTCTCTAAACTTGAGCTCCTCACATACTCTACAAGAGCCTCTGCATTTTCAAACTTCTTTTCTTCAATTAAGTCTTTACTAAACTCAGGTTTTGGAGGGTAACTTTCACTAATCACTGTGTTTTGAGCAGGTACTGAACATGAGGGGTCCAACTGTTGCAGATCTGACACAGTTTCTTCCTCTATTGATGCAAGAAGATTACTGTGATATAACTTCTCACCATTATCAGCCGTACCTGAAGCACTCGCTAATATTTCCAAAGAATTTTTACTCTGATTATTTTTTCCTTCAGGTTTATTGTCATTTTTCAGTCCTTCACGATCCCCCACGTCCTCAGCCACTCCCGAAAGTATTTCTGCCAGGGTTGTGTTAAGCCACTGAGTATCACAAATAAGGTCCACGAGGGCCTGTAAAATATTTTGAGCAAAGAGATCTCTCAGCGAGATCAAAATGAGGTCACAGCGTGTCACTTCAACGGGTAAGTAGTGTTGGAGTAATATTTGTGCCAGCTTGCGATAATACAGCTGCAACGCTTCGGGACTTTTGAGGGCGGGGTGTAGGGGCTTGTATTTGGCTTGTACATCTTGCACTCCTGCCTTGCTAAGTGACTCTAAATCTTTGTGTTTCTTGGAGACCTGTAATTATTGAAGAGAAAATATGCTCAGCTGATAATAAAATTTTGTATACAGTATGTATAAATGTCCTACACACATTATTTATCCTACACACAGTATTACCTATATATACAGTATAAATAAATGTCCTACACATGCCAGTACCTAAGAGAATGTATACCTCAGGGGTGGAAAATGAATTAAAGGAGACAATAATTACAGAAGATAAAATGCCTAAGGACTGGAAATCAGCCAATGTCATCCCAATATACAAGAAGGGTAGAAAAATTGCAGGAGGAAGCTACAGGTCGATCAGCCTAACATCAACATGTGGGGTACAGTATATGCAAATTTTATGAGAAAATCCTGAGGGATGCCATCATTCAACACCTGGTTTCATGAAAAGAAAATCCTGCCTGAAAAACATACTCACATTCTTTGAAATGGTGGCAGACTACATAGACCAAGGCTTACCAGTGGATGTGTTGTACATGGATTTCTCCAAAGTGTTTGACAAATTCCCACACACACAACTAGTCTCTAAGATCCAAGCACATGGCATCTGAGGCAAGCTTTTGATGTACAATATATTAACAACTGGCTCGAAGGCAGGCAGCAAAGAGTGGTAGTAAAGAATAGAGTACATTCTGAATCAAAAAAGATTCTCAGTGGAGTACCACAAGGCTCTATCCTTGGACTCCCCATTTGTGATCTGAATGACATAGATAAAAATATATCAAGGCACATTGTCAAGTTTGCAGACAACATGAAGATATTTGGGAATGAAACAAGTCAAGATGATGTCGCAACAATGCAAAAAAGTCTGCATATGTTCAAAATGGTCTCGAGACTGGCAAATGCTCTTTAACATTACAAAATGCAAGACCCTACACATAGGATAAAACAACCCTAATCACAATTACTGTATTCTGTTAATAACACTTTCCTCGATACTGTTGATAAGAAGAAAGATCTAGGTGTTGTGATAAGTCATTCACTGAAGAAGGTGAACAAATGGGGCAGCAGTAAGGAAAGCAAATCATAATTTGGGAATCATAAAGCATACCTTTGAATACAAAGACAGGAATATCCTCCTTCAACTGTAAAAATCTCAAGTATTGTACATACATCCCAGTCTGGATTACTGTATACAGGCACAGAAACTCTACCTCTAGAAAGACCAAACACCCATAGAAAAGGTGCAACAGAGAGCGACTAAGATGATTCTGGAACTATGTCATCCATATTATCCCAAAAAAAACTGAGGGGCCTTAGGACTAACAACCCTTCAGACAAGGCAGACTACAGCAGATCTCACTGAAACATTCAAAATCCTAAGAGGGATGGAAAACATGAGCCCGGGACATCTCTTTGTGATGTCACTCCCTACTAACACGAGAGGACATAACTACAAACTTGCCAAGCTATCAAGCAGAACAAACAAGGAAATGCTTTTCCACACAGAGGCTGGTAGACCTTTGGAACAGTCTACCAGCCCAACCTGTGGGCTTCAAAATTGCCCTTGACAAAATTATCAAGAACAATGGAGGAATCCTATACAGGCCACTGGCCTCCTTCCCTTGGCATGGCCACCTCTAGTGGGTGGCCATTAGGTAAATAAGGTAAATATACCTACATATAAATATATAAATGTCATACACACAGTATTTATCTACATATTTATATAAATGTCCTACACATAGAAATATCAAAGACATAAAAATCTCCTGTAATCCAAACAATCCCTCCAAGACTCTTCCATTATACAGTCAAGGACCACAACATATAATAACCCTTGGGAGGCAACAACTGATGAATCACTGTCATAATGGTTTAAGGAAATATGATTACACAATCAATCACAAGCCTGTCAGGGAATGTAAGAACTAGTTTAGTTTTCAGATAATTAATTTTCACAAAGCAGTATAGAAAGGTGGGATTTTTAGTTCTTCCTTTTATTTTACAAACTTAGACTTGTAGCTTAGTTTTTCATGGTTTTTTCATGTCAAACTAAAAAAAATTTAAATTATTAGAATTTGCATAACTGAATAAAGTACAGGTATAGGACAATAAAAAGGTTGATCAGCTTATGTCTGATGTGTTACTTTCATATTAAACCAATGAGTAAAATGCTTATTCCTTTAATGAATCTCTTGAAAATCAGAAACCACCATTTATTTTGGATGATGAATAAACACCTCGATGCTAACGTAACCAAACCCCCTATTTTGCATTAGGGTATCTAATCACCGGGTGCAATAAGCTGGGGTTCCTCATCTTCATGATATTCCTTTTATAAATATGGTTCAATATGATAGTTCTAACTTCTACCACTCTGCAGTAAAAAATGTGCAATCATAACCCAATCAAAAATTAAATGCTGTAAATGAGTGAGAAATTTAGAATTGAGATAAGCATGGTATAATTTCCCTGAGTGTGTGGTGGTGCTGTAGTGGAGACCATGAATGACACCATTCACATGTTTAGTTTTTATGGATCACTTAAATATTAACCCCCATATAATTCTGGGGTTATAGAACTTCAGGTTGGTTAAGATGGAGAGTTAAACCATGGGGTTAATCTTCAGGTGACCCATAAAGGCTAAACTTGCATATTGTCTCATTCATGGTCTCAACTACTGTACATCACTGATGAGAACCAATTTTTTTTAATGTGATAAAGCATCATGACAACTGATAAATAGTAATCATCTCAGTAGCTACAGTACATAGTTAAAACACTGTTATCATTTCCAGTCCTGTATTTCCCAAAAATCTGCAAAATGTAACAAATAAAAAATGTCATTGAATTTCTGAATTTTGAAGCGAGGTGAAAAAGATCTTTCCTTTCACACTACTGTACGAATTCAAATTTGATGGGGTGAAAATCAAGCATGGAGGATGACTGTGATAATCTGTGATACATTTAATTCCACATTGTTTCAGATATTAACGTTAAATAGTGCAACACTAATATTCAGGTGATCTACAAATCTTTATACCTTACACAAGTTCAGGGACGGGAAATACATACTTTTCTGAGTGCTCGGTGGTACTGGCGGTAGTGCTGTACGTAGATCTGAATGACACCAGATGCTAGATATGTTAGGCTCCCTGACTCCTGAACTCTGTGACACATATTAGTCAGCATTTCTTCCAAAACATCTTTTATCTGTAGAGAAAAAAAAATATAGACTGACAGAGAGAAACATCAATCATTCATTATTTTTATGATCACTTCTTGGGGACACAGCACAGTAATGGTATCTTTAAAACACAGGACAAGTGATGTTTGTTTTCAATACCGACGGAGAGAAGAGTTGTTAATAATTGTCATGAAATATCTATATTTATGCAAATTACAATCCAAATCAACAAACCTCCTTACTCCATGAAACCTATATCTCATACTGTATGCCAAGAGTCTCTCTAAAATATCAACATAAACAAAAGAATAAGCATGACAAACCTGGTGAGAGAAATGATTATCAGGTGAGACACGGGAGTACCATGGCAGAACTAAGCATGAATGCAGAGAACTGGCTGTAACAACCATTTCTTGCATGATGGGCTCGAGTCCGCTGCTTCTGTGGCATCCAGTCCCACCCAGGCTTTGTATTGTACTGCTGCTGACTCTGGAGGACCTCACCCCCTCCTGTGTATTGGTGGTGTGGCCTTGGCCTCTTTCCACAACACGCTCCACAATGCTAAAGCACCTGAGTGAAGCAACATTATGCTATATATATATATACCTGTATATATATATATATATATATATATATATATATATATATATATATATATATATATATATATATATATATATATATATATATATATATATATATATATATATATATATATATATATATATATATATATATATACTGTACTATGTGGCAGCAGAGTTATACATTACATTTAAATGATGGCAAGATTATACCAAGTCATAGAATATTATACACTGTACTTGTACTCATAAATGGATATACTAAATGATCTTAAGTGATGGACACATTAAACAAACTGATACCTGTGTTATACTGTTCTATGAGACAAGATATTTATATGGATTCTGACCATTAGCTCTTCTTGCAAATTAGATGAACTGCATGTCAGACAGATAATGGATAAACATTTGTTGAAAGACTTGTCAGCTTAGGATATGGTTGATAAGGCTGAGTTAGTTTCAGTTAGGTCAAGCAAAACCCTGTGCATTAGTCTTGCTAACAATGGAACAATGTACATAATATTACAGGTATTTCTCTGGTTAACAAAGGTACAGAACCAATACATCTTAACGATTTGCCAAGTCAAACTTACTTTGCAAATAAAGGGTAAGACTGAGGACCATGTCGAAGAAGGTTATTAAAGACAGTCCATGTGGTGTATCCAGACCCAAGGGTGATGGTAATGAGGCCAACAGCACATGCGCACACCCACCAAGCTCCTCCACCACTGAGGCACACACACACAGGGCACCAAACAACACACGAACCAGCTGCCCAAATTGCCCCACGCACCCATCTGTTTACGGTTGAGTGGAGTTAAGTATATGTTAGAGCGTGGCTACAACAATGTTAATTTTTTCTATATAATTACAAATGTATTGTTATTAACAGGAGCTGCACTTCTATTAATCTATCATCTTTAATCCTCTCTCAATTTTTCTGTGGGGTGAATCAAGGAAAAGAGAAACATCAAGAAGTAGCCAAAGAATGACACAAAACAAGTATTGAACTGACATGAAATACACAGGTAGAAACATTCCTTGAACACGTCTACACACCTCAAATTACTTACTGAATTACTGGGTTACTTAGCCTCTTTGCCACTGGTCAGGCGGTTGGTCTGTTCTCTGCTATGCATCGCTGGCATGTACAGTACAAGGTAGTTAAGTGGCATATAGTATCAAACCACCTAAAATACTCAGGATTTTATATGCAGTACTGTATTGTATAAATAGAAATACATGAGGTGCTGCACTGTACAGTTGTAAGAGTAAATACACTACTGTATTTTAAATTTGAAAATGGGTCCCATAGGCATGACTGGCCATTAGGGGCAGTGTGGTTACAGTACACTATATACTAGGCCTTTGGTACATAAGGAGGCAGCATGGCCAATACTGCTTCTGACAGCATTTACTTCCCCAATTGGTAAACATAGGTATCCATTTACAGCTGGGTGAACTGGGAGTGCCCAAGGATCAAACCACCGACCCATGGAACAGGAGACAAGTGCTGTATCCACTCAACTGTCACACTAATAATTTTTTTTAATCTAACAACTTAAAACTTCACCATTAAAGTTGTTTACTTCTTTGTTAAAGGCTTAAAAAATAATATTTTACTAAGCATTGATTTTGTATATGGCACATGTAATTTGAGGCTATGACCAAGTAGGTACAGTTTGTGTACTGTAGAGTGATTCAACTTGTTATCCTTATCCTACCCAGAGGTCTACACTTGTCTTGCATCACTCACCCTTGGATATTGTTCTCTTCCTTCAGCATTATGTTTCCTTCATTCAACCTCTACAGATAATGGGGGAGGAGTGAAGATTATAGATACACTGATTGACATAAAATTTCTTCAGTTAGTTTAATGAGTAATCTTAATCAAAAAATGAAATTACATACACAGTTTACAACTTCATCTAACGGGTTTACTGTCATATTATTGTTGTTCCACATAATAAATAAGGACAATATACAGGACTGTAAAAACATGCTGCCAGTATAGAAATAACTAAATGAAGAAGCAGTATTTAAATCTGGCCGTAAACATAAAAAAAAATAATCCGTTCATTTAGCTACGTGTAAAATGTATCGCATCAAATAACCTAAACATAACGAAAAATTAAAGTTTGTTCTTAGCTTCCTCATGTATATATTCCATAATCACAACCAAACAATAAAACACAAAAGAATCACAGCTTGACACTAACTCGACCACCACCACCAACCTGGACATCTTGGCGATATACATAAATGTTTGTCAAGGAACCATCTTTGTCTCTCTTTTCAATTTATTTCTTGACACTGGAACCATCTGTGGAATAAAGAGGACAGTAATTCAGAGATATCAATAATAACAAACACTTGATGTATCTTCCAACCTGAACTTTTTCTGGTGGCCGATAAAATGTGTGATAATATATGGTGCCTATACCCACCTCTCTTATCCTTGAGAAGTACAGTACCACCTGGTTACTGCCAATATATCACATGAAAATCAGGCACCCTAGCTTACTTCACCACATGATTAAACTCACTAAAGCTACTTAGGGGTTAGATTGTTATGTCTCTCCCTCACTTTGTTCTCTCATCTCTAGCTTCCTTGAGAATCGATCCATGGCAGTTGTTGTCGAGGGATCGATTTCTCGCTCTTTCTCTACCAATAGTGGCGTCCCACAGGGTTCTGTTCTTTCACCAACTCTCTTTCTTCTTTTTATCAATGATTTACTTCACACTACAACTAATTCTATCCATTCTTACGCCGATGATTCTACTCTTCACTCTTCCTCACATTTTCCCCTTCCTCCTAACTCTCAAACTAGATCTGTTTCTAGAACTGATATCATTACTTCTATCAACGCGGATCTGTGCAGCATCTCTGAATGGGGAGATACAAACTTGGTTAAGTTCAATAGTAACAAAACTCAATATTTACCAATTACACTTTGTAAAGTAGACGATCTCCCACCAATTACATTTCAGGACGCTATCATCCCCCCAAATTCTGAAATAAATATGTTAGGCCTCACCATTTCCTCCAATATGTCCTGGAAATCACACATCCTTAGTATAACTAAAGCTGCCTCCCGAAAGTTGGGAATGCTGTACAGATGCCGCAGCTACTTCACTCCTGAGCAGTTGCTCCAAGTATATAAGGGATTCATTCGTCCTAACTTGGAGTACTGCTCTCATATCTGGGGTGGCTCTTCTTCTGTCCAACTATTAGATAGGGTGGAATCAAAGGCATTTCGTCTTATTAACTCTCCTCCTTTAGTCGACAATCTCTCTCCCCTTTCTCTTCGCCGCAATGTTGCTTCACTCTCTCTCTTTTACAGGTACTTTAACGGGCAATGTTCAGGGGATTTGGCATCCTGTGTACCGCCGGTAAGGCCGTGGGTTCGTAACACACGTCTTGCCCGCGGTGCCCACCATTTCTCTGTGGATATCGGTCACACGAGAATAGCCCGTTATAGTACCTCCTTCTTTCCTCACACAGCCAAACTGTGGAATGCTTTGCCTTCTTCTGTGTTTCCATGCTCTTACAATCTGTCTCACTTTAAAAAGCTGGTTTTCCGGCATCTTCGTGGTGTAGATTAATACAGTATAACCTTTTTTTCTATATTTTCAATTTCTTTCCGTTCTTATTTTTTCGCCCCCGAGGCTCCGTTGTGGGTCGTTTGACCTGTGCCCGGGTTGGCTAATTCCCGTAAAAAAAAAAAAAAAAAAAAAATTATATTTTTATTTAATGCATATCCAGTGAGGGTGCAAAGAAAAAATATTACTTTGAATTTACTTAATATGATGCCTCTGTAGCTACAGTGTTAATGGTAAATAAAACTAACTAATATTAAGTTAATTTATCGTTTTAGTCATCCACCTATTTGGAAGTTGAAATTATGTTTTTCCGATGGTTTTGGGTGAGTTTTGAACGATTCTGACCTTCATTTATACCACAAATCACTATTTTTTTAGTTCCCTCCCCTCACCCAACAATTATGGGGGCTTCCCAGTGGCACCAGGGGCTTTGAGTGGGGGAAAATCACAAAAAGTAGTAATTTACAATAGAAGTAAAGTTCAGAATCATTCAAAACACATCCAAAAACATCGGAAAAACATAATATTAACCTAACCTAACCCAACCTCACCTTAGAGCTCTCTCAGACGTTGCAGACTTAAAATCCTAAAATTCGCTGGATGACCGAAACGATAATAATACCTTACTGACTACATCTGGTTTTACTTTACTGCACAGTATTTACTTTATCGTGTTCACCATGTACCAGCCTACCAGCCACTTGGTCAGTTGCTCAGATCTGTTGCCAATTACTGTACAGGGCATGTATATACTGCACTGTACTAGTTTTAGCAGAAGCAAGCAACTGAATAATGTATTATTAAGTATTGAGTGGTTCATTCTCATTACATCTTAACAATACCCTGTAGTTAGTTCACATTTACTAACGAGCCGAAGGTGTGGAGTGCACGGTCTACCTGACGCTTAAAAAAAAATATATTATAATTTTTCCCTTGCTTCCTAAATATAATTACTTTCTATGCATAAAAATGGTGAAAATTACCTAGAAAGCAAACCAGTGTTGAGTCTATCATATTTAACCAGGAATGTTAGGTTATGTTTGAGTCATTTGTTGGGAGTAAGAACTTTGACCTAGTGCTACCATGAACACACTAGTGGTCATACAAAGATTGGATTTTAGTTATTTCATGAAATTTCACTACCCCTGATTATTTCACCTGATGATTAAACACCCTAATGCTAACCAAAACAAAACCTAACCTAACTATTTCTAATTAAGGTGTTTAATAAGTTGGGTTTCCAAATATAACTGAGATATGATTTTTTATTTTTTTTTATTAATTTCTTCATTACTCTCTCATCAGATCTGCATTATATATAAAAAAATAAACATATCTTAGAAAATAGTTATATTAATGAAATGAAGTTGCTGTTGTACACCTTTACCAAAACATATTAAATAATCCTACAGGTAACTAATGAATAAGAGTGAAGGCTCTTGGCATGGCATGAGAACTCCCTAACAATGACAACTACACAACTCTCATATTTGATGTATCCATATTAAGTGTTGACATGCATTATATTAAATACAATGTGTAAATATATCACAAAAGTAATTATAAATTATGAATACACCCGCCATCGTCAATAACAATAATATATTAAATGTTAATTCCGAGGTGTTAAATGTCTAACAGCTGGGATGATGGAGGTAGTTTCTGCCAGACAAGCTTTTTTTTTTCTTATCTGGATGTGTTTAATGGCGATGGAGAGTGTGACACATGGAACAGTTTACACCTACAGGGTCAGGTGGTCATGGCAGGCCCCCACAGTTGGTGTCTTGGGGCCCAGTAACGCACTTCTCACCAGCTGTTATCAACACCTACGCAATTTTCAGTTATCAATAATTTATAATGTGGATGGTAATGTTCTGCTCATTTACCTACACACCCATGATAGGTGATTATACCGTGTGTTATGTAAGGTGTATTAACAAGAGGGAAAATGGTATAAATAGGTATTTCAGTGAGAAAAACAAGACTTAACTTCAGTACGTCCTTCTATTGTCAGCTTCAGACGCTTCTCACTCGTTCGTGGTTAACGCTTAGGGGTCGGCCCATCTCACCACTCTTAATGAAATGCATAAATTTTATACATGAGTAGTAAATATATCCTTAAAATCATGCATATCTAAATTAAATAAGACGCTTGTACTCTACTTATGTTGTTTGACCGTTTTAGTAAGTTTTAAGATTTCTGAAAGACCAGCCAGTGATGTGAGGCCGTATGATTAGTGATGCTCGTAAATTACCACGAACATTATATCTAAATTGTCCATTTTTCCAAAAAACAAAAATTTCACTTATTCCATCGACCCTAATTTAACTTTAATTACGTTAGGTAAGGTCAGATTTAGTCTGATAGTTTACTTTATACCGTTTAAAAAATATAAATAAATGATATATCGAGTCTGTGCTCTAGACCTCGTGGTACTCTCTTAACAATGATTACTGAGCGTGAAGTTCCGCTTTCCTTTGTAAATCTTGATGGATTGTAAAATACATTCAACAAACTCAAAAGAATTTTTTCAGAGATATAAATATTGTACAAGTATAAACTAAAGGGCAAAGTAAAGGTTCAGCAACTGCCATGTTGTGTTTATGACTACTAGTTACTGCATTATGATAGTTATTAACTTATTATTGTAAACGGGATTAATTAATCTGATTGTTGGATAATAATTAAGTAGTTTTAGATACTTTTCTATTTATATCTGAGTTAGGCAAACACAATGGGTCACAGCTCAAGGTTGAAGAAGCCACAAGTCCAGAAAATAGTGACTAACAGCGACGTGACTGACCGCTAACGAGCCGATCTGTGGTGAAGAGGATAAAACCCTATATAAAAAAGCCTAAACCTACGTAAATTAACTAAACCAGACCATATTAACCAAGTGTGATTTTATTTGATATATTAACCTTATTTTCAGTTCAATAAAACTTTTTTTCTAATTAGATTTACAATATTACCTAATGTCCTAGCCTAACATAACCTCACTGACTTAACTGGTTATTAAAATCGGTTTAGGTTTAGTTATGATAATTCGCCTGAGAAAGAAGTATTTGTGGTAGTTTTCCTGGTATAATTTTAACAGACTATCTTACCTGCCATGTTTCGTTCCTTGTGTGAACTGTCGAAGAGGTCAAGACAAGTTCAGGTTAGTTCTCAAAAAATCGCTTTTTCTATTTGTTCATACGTTAGCCAGTTTGTAATGATCAGTTATTTCAATGATAGATTAGGGAGTTATTCGGTATATCGGAAATTAATGAAACGTAATTAAATGACGATATCAGTGATGATACTCTGCCCCGAAGTCAAGCGGCGGCCATTTTAATATGTTAGACTTGGTGAGGTGATATATTGCTCGAAGGCCCAATATTTTAGCTGCTTTTGGCGTGTTTAACTTTACGGCGAAAGGCCAGATAATCGCGCCCTGTTCTTAGGGTCAAGCAATTTTGTCTGCCATACTGGTAACTTTTGGCCGTAACACCGATGGCTCATTGTTCCGCAAGAAACAATAACTTCACTTACTCTAACCTAACTTATCCTAGCCAACTCCTTAACCTAACCTATCCAAGTCTGACCTACTCTAACCTAAGCTATCCAAGTCTGACCTACTCTAACCTAAGCTATCCAAGCCTGACCTACTCTAACCTAACCAATAGTCTTACTCTATAGCCAAGCTGAGTTACGCTACCTGCCTGCCGTAGTCGAATCAATTACATTTTTCAATTTCAATAGCTTATTCCTTGATGGTGGTAGTCTAACCTGACCTACCCTAGCCTAACATAATGTGGAGCTGTGAGGACCAACTGTCTCAAAATAAACTTCACTGTTATTGAAGGTTTGTCACCAATCCACCCAGGTGAAGTGAAGGTGGGTCGAGTGCAGCGCCTCTTGGTGTACCAAAGTGATATACTACTGTAGATATAAACTTTATTAAAATATGCTCGTTAACAAAACCATATAGAATGAAGTACATATAAAAATGGTGCACATAAAAGGGTCAGCAAAAGTAGACACAGGTAATAGTTTATTCATTAAAATAAGTTTAACCTAAATACAAAGTTGAGGTTCGTAACATTAGTGTAGTATTAGTATAGTCTTGATCCATCCCACTGTCCCCACACCAGAGTAAACTGGGATGTCTAATCTTTACGAGATCCCATTTAACATTACTCCTACTGTACACATTTTTACCTTAAATATAAACTAGGAGACTCACTACTTTAGTTAAAATACAAGAAGGCTGCAGGGTAATGAATTGAGTCCTGGATTACAACAGTCAAGCCCCAACATTTGACAGTCAATCCCCAACAATACGATGGGTGAAAATTCTCCCAAGACGACACAGCTCCCTCTCCCAGCCGTCACCTCCAACAGTAGTAAGAGAAACCAATAGGACGATATGTTAGTAAGATATTGCTCGACTACACAAAATAATATACCTGTAATACACTACTTTAGTTTCCAAAGTTTGTTACTATAAGTAATTTTTCTAGTTGTAAAACACTTTATGACTGCACCTCGTATTACAGCACAATAGTATGTGTGCCTCTACTATTTACAAAATATGAAGAATATATAAAGGGTTTTTAAATAAATACTTATTCTTTCGCACAAGGAGTTAACATTTTTGAGTTTATAAGCCCTTTGGTAATACAGAGATACCTTGATTTACGATAGAGTTAAAGTCTTGTACACAGAATAATCGTACATCGAATCATACACATTGTCCTACTTTTTCCCACACAAGAACTAGGTATGTGTAAGGTGTATCAAGTGTCCTCAATATGTAGAAGTTTAGTTGTAGATGATGGCATGACACGTAGCTCATCTTATATACCCTCGACGTAGTCAGTTCTTGCAGATAAGTACCTTGAAGACTTTCTTATAGGCAGCTCTGAACTCTGGCGAGGAGATTGGATAGAGAATCGGATTGAGGGCAGAGTTGATGTAGGCCATCCAGTAGCTGAAGTTGACGTACCATTGTGGGAAGAGCGTCGGGAACCAAGCACTCAACTGTAAAGATTAGAATTAGCACGACATATCGGCTGTCTGTATAGTACCAAGAGTGAAAGATAAAATCAAATTTTAAGTGAAATGAAGGATAAAGTGTGTGTGTGTGTGTGTGTGTGTGTGTGTGTGTGTGTGTGTGTGTGTCTACCAGCTACCCGGTGTTATATGAGAAAAGCCTTGAACATTATTAAAAATGATTCACCTGAAAAATCCCCACAGCTTTTTTTACTTGAAGATTAACTACCTTGTCGTTACGCGAGAAGGGAGTAGGTTAAATTAGGTTTGGTTAGGTTAGGTTAAGTTACATTAGGTGGGATTAGGTTAGATAAGAAGACAACAAAATATGCCTCACCACGAATAGAATATAGAAGGGAACCCAACAGACGAGGAAGATGGCCACGATGTTAAGGAGTGTGTACACGGCCTTCATCTCTCTCTTCAGCTTGGCTCCCTGCTTCTCGGCCTTCGCTGGGGCTGCCGCTGACTTCCTCGGTTCGTTCCCGTCAGTACCGGATTCACTAGTTTCTGTCTGGATAGTCTGTTAGAGTGAGGAAGTTGATTCACTGTACTAGAAGCAAACACTTGATGGCTTTGATGGCTATCCTAGGTCGTATATTATTGTTTACCATTGTTTGTGTATCTGTAGTCTTGGTGCTTTGTGTGTATACCTATACAGTGGGGTATGCTATAACGAACGTAATTGGTTCCAGAACCTCGTTCGTTATAGCATTCGTTCGTTATAGGATTAATCCGTTCCAGGCCCCCAAATACAACCACTTAACACTGAAAAAATTCTGTGGAAAATGTAAAAAATAAGGTACTTTATCTTACCTTAGTGTTATTCAGCATGCAGGTACCCCTAAACACTGGCACATCACTATCACTTCCACTGGGAGTCTTGGCTTTAAGGTCCTCAAACAATTGTTTAGCCTTCTCACAAATTATCACTTCACTAATGTTACCACCTGCCATTTCTTTCTCCTTTATCCACACTAAGAGTAAATTTTCTATCTCTTCAATCACATTACACCTTGCTTTGCTAAGTCTAAAGATTCCCTTAGCCACTTGCACAGTTTTTAACTCCTCTTTATTCTTCAAAATCGTACATATAGTCGATTTAGCCATCCCATACATCACTAAGTTTCGCAATGCTTCTTCCATTCTCACGTTTCTTTATAATTTCTTAATTAGTTTCAAGGGTTATTAGCTTTCTCACTCGCTTTGAACTATTCATTGTCACAATTGTACACTTGTATAACAAAATATTTATACAAATAACGCGAATTTCCACATCAAAAGACGAAATTTCAACAATAACAGTGGTGCACTGGCTACACAATGAGACAAAGATGGCGCCTGACGCTCTTGTTGTGGTCGTGGTACAACAATATTCATGCGCCAGGCGAAGTAGTCCCGTATTCATCCGCGTTCGTTGTAGGAGTTGCGTTCGTTATAGCATTCTCAATTTTATAGGTAAAACCGTTCGTTATAGGAATATTCGTAGTAGGATCCGTTCGTTATAGCATACCCCAGCTATAACGAACGAAACTCCTACAACGAACGCGGATGAATACGGGACTACTTCACCTGGCGCATGAATATTGTTGTACCGCGACCACAACAAGAGCGTCAGGCGCCATCTTTGTCTCATTGTGTAGCCAGTGCACCAGTGTTATTGTTGAAATTTCGTCTTTTGATGTGGAAATTCGCGTTATTTGTATAAATATTTTGTTATACAAGTGTACAATTGTGACAATGAATAGTTCAAAGCGAGTGAGAAAGCTAATAACCCTTGAAACTAATTAAGAAATTATAAAGAAACGTGAGAATGGAAGAAGCATTGCGAAACTTAGTGATGTATGGGATGGCTAAATCGACTATATGTACGATTTTGAAGAATAAAGAGGAGTTAAAAACTGTGCAAGTGGCTAAGGGAATCTTTAGACTTAGCAAAG